ACAGCGCCACTTCCGGTTTTCTGGTGGTTTATTGGAGATAGGAGTCTCACAGTCTTTCCTGCCCGGGCTAGCTTTGAACCGCGATCCTCAGATCTCAGCCTCCTGAGTAGCTAGGATTACAGGTGTGAGCCACCAGCGCCCGGCTTCTATAATACATCTTAATCACTAGTATTGCTATGGATCACTCATGTTAACATGACATACTTTAAGTCTCAGTACCTTTGTTATAAAAGGATAATTATAACAGAATTGGAAATTGGATGAAGATCATCCACTTATCTTTCTTTATGAGGTCTGCTAAAAATTGCTTCTTTTAAATATTATTATAAGTCAAAATGCATAAAAAATAAGGTTTGTGTGTATATATATATACATATATATATGTATATATATATATATACTTTTTTTTTCATGTCCATTGTAGAACTTGAACTCAGGGCCTGGGCACTGTCCCTGAGCCTCTCCCTCAAGGCTAGCACTCTACCACTTAAGCCACAGCACCACTTGCAGCTTTTTCTGAGTAATTTATTGGAGCTAAGAATCTCACGGGCTTTGCTGTCCAGGCCAACTTCAAACCACAATCCTAAAATCTCAGCCTCCTGAGTAGCTAGGATTACAGATGTGAGCCATAGGTGCCTAGATCATAAAAACATTTTATTTTATTTTTTTGGGGGGGATCCAGTCTTGGGGCCTGAACTCAGGGCCTGGGCGCTGTCCTTCAGCTCAAGGCTAGCGCTCTACCACTTGAGCCACAGCGCCACTTCTGGCTTTTTTCTTTTTGTTTATGTGGTGCTGAGGAATCGAACCCAGGGCTTCAGGCATGCAATGCAAGCGCTCTACCACTGAGCCACCTTCCCAGCCCCCATAAAAACATTTTAAAAGAATAACATTTACCTTAGCTTTTTTCCTTATTGGGAATAGAATAAAAGACATTTTTCTGTTGAAAAGGAATGAGAGAATTAATTTATCTCAATTATCCTAAGTGAGATTGCCAGCAAGAGCTTTAAATGGGGTTGAATACACTCTTCTCTGAGAGCCTAAATGTTTAGACATTAATAGACAAAACTAAATTTTAAGCTTATGTTGTCAGACTAAACTGAATTACTGGCTTATCTTGAAAGGTAGATATCCTTTTAGATGTCCTTCTACTAATCTAGTGGTGATTTCCCATTATGAAAGGAATACATGTTTTTTTTTTGTTGTTTTTTTTTTGCCGGTCATGGGGCCTGAACTCTGGGCCTGGGCGCTGTCCCTCAGCTCTTCAGCTCAAGGCTAGTGCTCTACCACTGGAGCCACAGCGCCACTTGCGGCTTTTTCTGTTTATGTGGTGCTGAGGAATCGAACCCAGGGCCTCATGCTTGCAAGACATGCACTCTGCCGCTGAGCTACCTTCCCAGCCCTG